CCTGTGCTCTCTGCAGGGCCAGGCCACACCCGAATCCTCCAGGCTATTACGTTTATTCTAGGATCTTCCTCTTTTATTTTGAGCATTGCTTCTCAGTCAATGGAACCCATCCATCTTTAGGGGAGATGTCACATACACTTTGTAGCTTGGTGACCTCTGAGACCACAGCTGATCTTCCCCTAGGCACTTAAGCCATATAGAACCAATCTTTATGGAAGAGGTCATGTATACTTTGCAAAAGTGTTTTGATGTAGTCACACCTAAAGCTTTGTTGCGAATCTGGGATTGAGATCATTGTCACCAGGAAACTCCCCCCCCACCAAACTGTAGTGTACTTAAGTGCCTAGAAAGTAAACTTCCCAGTGTCAGACTCTAGAAGTTGGAACCAACACCAGCTACTAGGTCATGTCGGACCTGATTTCCTTCCTGCCCCCCTCAGACCATTACTCTGCCTGCCGGTCTTGGAGTTAGCAGGGACCCCACGCACAAAAGTTTCCTGATCCTATAAAACCCAGAAGCAAATCCTGAGTCTTCAATGACCTACTAAGCACTCTACTCATATGTTTGTGTATGTGTGTGGTGTATGTATGTGTGTGTGCATGCATGTGTGAGTGCCGGTATACATGCTCACAAATGTCAAGGTCTGGGGTGGATCCCTGCATCTTCCTTGATCTCTCTATCACCTTATATTTCGAGACAGGGTGTTTCACTGAACCAGGAGTTCAGAGATTGGCCAGACTGGCTGGCCAGTGAGTTCTGGGGATCTACTTGTCCCCACACCGTACCCCCAGCCTCCCACCTTCCAATTGTGCTAGGTTACAGATGCATGTGACACGCCCAGCTTTGCACGCGAGGGCTCCGAACTCAGGCCCTCACGTTTGCACAGAAGGCGGTTTGCCACCTGAGCCCTCTCTCCATCCGGCCTCCTCCAGTCCTCTTAAAGACATTAATATGTCTACTTTCAACGGGAGACATGAACAGATTGCCACAATGGCACCCTGTCTAATGAAACATGGCAACAGGGCAAATGCAGAATATCACAACAGCCCACAACATACTTAGTCATTATCTGGTTCTAAAAACTATTCGGGGACTGGTAAGATGGTTCAGCTGGCAAAGCCACCAAACTTGATGACCAAAGTTTGATCTCTGGGACCCAAGTTGTCCTCCAATCTTCATACACACACCATGGCACCTGCTCCCCACCATACACAAAATAAAAATTGTAAAAAAAAAAAAAATTTAAATTAAATCTATGAAATCCCAAGGAATTCTAAAAGCCTAACATGCCCACAGCCCCTTCTTGGGAAAGCGTCTCCCTAAAGACATTTTCTTTGCTTAGGTTTGTAATTCATTATTTTTATTTATCTGTATCTGTGTTTATGTTTATGTCATGTTTATGGGTGCCCTTATAGGCAGAAGACGGTGTCAGATCCCCAGAACTGGAGTCAGAGGGAGTTGTGAGCTGCCTGATAGAGTATATGGGGTCCTCTGGAAGAGCAGCAAGTGCTCTTAACCACTGAGCCGTCTCTCGGGGCCTCTGTCTGCTTATTTTTTGAGACAGGGTCTCCTTAGGTAGCCCGGGCTGGCCAGGAGTCTCACAAGCTTCCTGCTTCCACCTCCAGAGTGTGGGGATTACAAGGGTGGTGTATGCCACACCCAGGCTAGAGGGCTTTTTTTGTTTTTTAACAAACAAACAGGCATAGTTCCTGCCAGGCTTGAATGAAGGCAGCTCCAGCACAGTGACCTCAGCTGATGAGAACAGGAACTCATTAGTCACGGGAGGCTCAAGGCAGAATGACCCTGTCTAAGCTGCTGCGAGGGAGGCCGCTTGGCACAAGCTCTGTGGCCTGTAGGAGCTCCTGATTGTATGCTGACAAGGACCTAATTAGTCGGTAGTCTCTCTCTCTCTCTCTCTCTCTGTCTCTCTCTCTCTCTCTCTCTCTGTGTGTGTGTGTGTATCTGTGTGTCTGTGTGTCTGTGTGTGTGTCTGTGTGTGTGTCTGTGTCTGTGTGAGGGCTGTCTATTTGAACGCCATTGAGTACCTGGGCCAAGTGTTCATGGGAACCCTGAGTCTTGGAAGAACCACACTCCTCCCAATAGTTTACATTTTGCACTGAATTAAATACTTTTATGTTGCTTTTAAACCATCATAGCACCTGAAACATTGCACTTGAAGTTGCCCTTTGCAGAATTCTTAAAGAATTTCTTGGGGCTTATTTGCCAACACAAGTCATCTCAACCTAGGCCTATCGAAGCCTTTTTCTTCTTTACTCATCATTTCCCAGGGACGTCATGCAAAAAATAATGGAGAATAGGGCGCTTCCTTCAGTGGCAGTTGTTTTTTCTTCCTGGCTTTCATGTTTCACTTTGGTAGCACTTTGCTGTTTAGTGCTGGGAATGACCCTCTTTGTAATTTACATGTCAAGGTCAAGTTTACTCTCTAAACGCTGATGTCAGAGTTGCTTTGTAGCTTTTTTATGAGCTGACTTTCGGGACTGTCACTTTCTTTCAAGGGCATAGCGCTTTCTTATCATGGAACTGAACTTTCAAAAACCACAACAAAAGGGACCAGGCATGTGGGTGCCTGTAACCCCAGCTTTGGAGAGGCCGAGGTGGAATGATCATGAATTTAGAGTTAGCCTGAGCTTTGCAGTGGTCGTAACACACCCCGAAAAGCACAAGATAACAACATAGAGTACTCAAAATATAGAAGAGTTTCAGACTGAGAAGAGTGACTTCTCTAAACCTTGTTATTGTAAAAATTTACAGTACTAATAGTCTCCGCTACTTTGTGTTATAGCAGAAAAATATGCCTTGGAAAACAGAACTACCCATTGATAATTTGTCTTCTCTCATTTAAACCCTACAACAGTCTTTTGAAGCACAAAGTATTTTTTTTCTATAACTCTTAAAACAAAATCAAAGATCCACATCTAATATGTGCCAATATGGTTTTTTTTTTTCTTGCTAGTGGGCAACATTAAGTTGTTGGGAATGGGAGTCTTGTTCTGACCTCCGGTCTGTCCCTTGTCAGGTGTCCTTGGCTGCGTCATTTCTGTTCAACTATCTCACTCAGTCTTCGTATCTTTCTCTGTTAATCAGCAATAATAATTATCACTAATTACCGTTACCATCTTTGAGGTAAGTCCTCAAGCTTCCTAACTATCATTTTACTACTACAGTTTCAACCCCCCACCCTGCCCCACCCCCCGCCACACACACACACACACACACACACACACACACACACACACACACGCACGCACGGTGAGGTTTCACTAGTCTCAGGCCTCCACTTCCTCTAAGAACTGGGATTTCGGGCGTGTGTGCCATCACACCACCCACTTTATGTGGTGCTAGGGATAAACCCAGAACCTGGTGCATGCCAGGCAAGCACTGAGCTACATCTCTAGCAAGTGTCTCAAACTTGGCATCCTTAATCGTATATATCCCTTTGAAAGGCCAAGACCACAGAGAGAAGTTCCATGCTACCTCCTTACAGTTAATGGTTTAGTAGAGAATAGTTGATAGGCAGCTGAGAAGAAGAATAGAATGTGGCATTGCCAGATGGCTCAGCAGGTAAAGTGCCCGCCACCACACCTGACAACCTGAATTTGGTCACCGGGACACACAGGGAAGGAGAGAGCAGACTCCACAGCCAACTGTCCTCTGACCTCCACGTGCACGTATTGTGTATGGCACACCCAATAAAAATACAATGCAGTGAAAATATTTTAAAAAAATAATAGAATATGGGTGGAAAAGGCAGAGTACTGAAGTCAGTGAGAAAGAGCCCCAAAGGTTCCCCCAAAGAATATTTTGTCTAGACTCTGTGCTGCTCAAGATACCTCAGAAATTGGCGAAGATGAGTGGGATTCGGCGTGTAATAGAGCCCCATCTGGCAGGGATGACTCAAGGGCAAAAACAAACAAACAAATAATAAATGAATAAACTAGGAAGCAAGTCCTGGGGAACAATAGGGACAGTCACAGTCGAGAGTCTGGGGCTCACTTCTCAGACTGTGAGGAGTCTCCGAGAGCATGTTATTGGTGACTGGAGACATCTGGACCTATGCTGCTTATGTGACGGGAAGAGGTTGGGCGAGGGAGTGGCTGACAGATGTGGCTGCAAGGTGCATACATCAATCCAGTTCAGAGGCCGTGGAGGTGGTGATAAGAATAGAAAGCTAGGATGCCACACTGCCTGGGAAGAGCCACCACCTGAATGTGGGGGCTGCATAGGAGACACCTGGACCCCAGGCTTATGGAGACTCTGGGACGCTGGTGAAAAGTTCCAAGAATTTCTATTGTTTGTCTTCTTCGCTCTTCTCCACCCAGTTTAAAGAGCCTTTAAGTGACATCAGCCAGCAAGTTACTGAGTACCTAAATATACAAAAAAGAAAAAGAGCCAAGGTTGTCTATCAGAATCTCACAGAGAATAAACCCATCCCAGGGACAATGAAGTGAGCCAAGGACCTGGTGAGCACTGGCCTAACCCTCCAAGCACCTCCTTCCTGGAGAAGCCAGTAATGACCACTGCTAAGAGGCCGGCTTCAGGTCTCCTTTCTGAAGCGGATCGGTACCTCCCTTAATCGTAGGATTGGTACATTTTACTTGAAGATCCCTGTACATCAACCATCTCAAGAAGAGCGGTATCTTTTCTTCTTTCCATGTACTGCCTTTAATATTTTATTCAACTGAATTTTTTTCCTCTCCCATTCTCTAATCTCCTTATAAGAAACAGCACTGCCTCTGGGCGTGAACACAGACAAAATCAGCGTGCCTCTTCCAAGACAGCCGCCATCACTGCTTTCCCTTCCCAACTGCATCCCTTCTCGTTCCCACGGCAACCAGCGGGGCCGCCCACGTGTGGACTCAGGACCCCCCGGGGCAGCAGTCCTGCCCCACCCCCACGATCCACGCTTGTGGCTAGCGGCACAGGCTCCGCGCGAGGAAGGAGGCCCGGTTGCCAAGGAAACGGGAAGACGCCAGGTAGCCGCCCCCACCGTCTCCGCCCCGAGAAAGGCCGGCGGCAACGGCGGACAGCTGCCTCCGGGAGGAGAAGGAAGAGGGGCCGCAGGAGGGAAGACGTGAGGCGTGGGGGAGGAAGAGGAGCCCAGGACCGGCCCCACGCACGATTGATGGGCGGCTCCTCTGCTGTGGGCCTGCCCACCCGCTCCACCCCGCGGCCCCTTTAGCCTCTGACAAGGGGGCAAAAAGTGCTGATCCCCAAGGTAACGGGCGACGCCCCAGCCTTCCCAGAACTGAGGATCAACTTTTCCTTTTAAACTTAAAAGATTCTAGAGGGGAATCAGGCCTGGAGCTTAGTGGCCAGCCGTTCTCTTCCTCTGGCTGACCGCAGCCAGCTCCAGCTTGTTTCTGCCTCAAAGGAATAGATTGAAGGGTCTGGTCATGTTTTGCACGCTGGCAGCCCCTCACACAGGTATATACCTTCTCTGTATATGCCATTGGTCCACAGGTCCAGGAAACGGCTTTTGAGTGTGAAAAGATGGTATTATTAATGCCAGAACCCAGTGGCTTGTCATCCTTGGGGTGTGCCTTCTCACTTTTCCAGTTACAGTTTCTCCTCTGGGCTTAATGGTCAGTATTTGTTAGCTAGCTCTCTCCCGCCCCCGACCTGCATTTCCCAAATTAAACTGGAAGATTCAGTCCCCCCCACCCAAGCCCTCAGCCTCTGAAGTATAAAATGGGCCTAGTCACTAAACTTACACTCAACACAAGTTTATAAAGTGAGATTTTTAAAAAATCTCTATTAAGTTTTTTTTCCACAAGCTAAAATGGAAACAAATCCTGTAATCCTTGTCATTACAAATTAATTCATTGTGGAAAGGGTTGAATTAAAGTTTTCTCAAATCCTCCTTCCAAGCACCCAATCCCGGGAAAGGAGGAATTTATAAACCTGATTGCCAGGCGGTAACACAGCTACTTAAAATTTTGTTTCAAATGAAGCGTCATTCTAAAGAGGTTAAATTTACATTTTGCTTATTTGCCAAAACCAAGACAGTATCGCTTTAGTGATATTTCACAGAGAGAGCAGAGCGAGAAAATGGTAAGATAGCTTAAGGCACTCCTTTAGATCAGGGTCTTTTTTTTTGGGGGGGGGGTAGTACAATTACAGACATAGAAAAGGAGACAGCATGTACACATGAATGTAATATGCATTTATATACACATGTGTGATATTCTTAGAGAATGGGAAGAAATGTATTCTGCCATCAAGTCCTGTTCTTCTTAGTTAGGGTACCTCACTCTGAATTCCCTGGAAATTTACCTCCGAGAGGAATTCATATGTCATAGCGTTCTTAGAATATTCCTCATTGAAATTTCACAGATGTGTAGAATTCTGAGGCCTGGCAGAATCCCACTTCCTCTCTTCCTGTCACACACCTCCTCATCCCCGGCCCTTTCCCTCTCCCTAACATGGCTTCTTACACTGATTTCTAAAACACGAACTGGGGCCAGCGCTTTGCCACCCAAGGCTTACAGCAGAAGTATGCATGACCATGTGTGAATTTCAGACCCGGAAGCAGTTCAAAGGTGAGAACAGAAGACAATACAGGTTGCTATTTTAGAATCGCGCCCTGCCCACGTTTTATTATCCACCCCCACGCAGCACTCTGTCAACTGTCTATATCTGCTGGGGGGGGGGGGGGACAGACAACAGCCCTGGCTTCAAATGGCCATCTGGTCGAGTAGGCTCACGAAATGGAACTCTGAGAATCAAGCATTAGCTCTTGTGGATTTATTTCCCATACAGTTATTTCTAGTTCTTGTTCATTCTGGTCAGCTCTTCAAACTTGCAGCCCAGTCTAAAATTCAAGTTGATGTGGAGAATATTTCTCTAACCCGAGATAATTGACTGTCTCCTTGCTGTCTCTAATAGGACAGACACCAAGAAAGCAGATTGTTTCATCTCATAAGGTTTTGATATATTTAAATAGGAAAGTCCAGGTGGCACTTCAGTGCTTCAAATATTTATTTTACAGTGAAATGTAATGGAGAGCTGGTGGGGGGGAGGGTCTCTTGGGGCACAGTCCTTTGTTATGTAGCCGATTATGAAGTCAGAGGTATCTAGCAAGTCTTACAGTGGTGTTGGTTCCTACCTCTTCAGGCCAGGTTATTTCAGGCCTCCTGACTAAGAACCTTCCTTAAATTATCTCACCTCAAAGCCATGCTAGATTCACTGGCTTTCTGTACTAACTTTGCACCTACAATGTTTCATCCCACTGGACTATGGGCTGTGCCCTTTTGCGGCCATTAACATAGTCTGGTTATGAATCCTGGTGTTCTCTGCCTGATTAATATTCAGCCAGGCTTCTCTTCCCAACAGGAGCAGCAGGGGTCCATCTTTCTGTTTTTAACCCCACCGTTTTCTGAAAAAGGGGGAACAGACGTCATTCTATGCAGGTACAAATTTATATGAAAAGTTACAAGTGGTATTTTTAAATATAGTCCATAAATGTCTGAAATGATCAGACACACACAAAATCTTTATGCTGACTTGCCTCAGGTATTTGTTACAGCCATAGAAAACTAACACAGTTGCTGAGAAATATAGGAAGAAAAAACAGGTAATGAGGATAAAGCCATATCCCTGCGGAAGTGCATGATGGGAAAGTGCTCACCCAACCATCCTGGGCCAAATGATAGCAAGTCCAAACTGTTCCGAAGCATTCAAGAGAATAAAGTGTGGTGTGTGAGGTAGGGGAAGGACTCCATAGAACTGGATCAAGTTGGTCTTACAGGACAAAAGTTGATTATCACAGGGAGAATTATTGGGTAGTTTTAAGAAGGGAGAAGCATGATCCTATTTAGGTGTTTTACAAACTATAGAACTACATATTGTAGCTTCAGACTCTAACTCTCCAAAGACCCTCTGTCTATCTTGAGAGAAAACAGCACCCCACCCCACCCCCCGGGACCAGGAAGCAATATCTTCACAAACTGAATAAGCAGAGGAGAGAAGGAAAGCCACAGAGCACACACCTGAGGGTCGGGTTGGTGACTGTGTCCCCCCCCCCCCCGCCCCCGCGAGGGGGGGGACCTTTCTGAGGAGCTGAGAGCACACTGTGGTCATTAAGAATGTATGCAGCAATCTATGAAAGAGCTTCGGTGAGCGAGGAGCTGGAACTGACTGTGGGGGCTTCGATGATCTGTTGATGAAGTCTGGCAGTCTCAGTACGAACAGTGACATTCGATAACTTTGTGAGCTATAATATTGTGGTCATAAATTAGACCACACCAACCAAAGCCTAATCTCTTGAAGTCACGACACGTCTTTACCACCTGTTTACAACTAGTTAAATGGAACTTCAGCCTTGTTGACGCAGTGACTGCCCTTGCTAGGGGTATTAACAGCCTCCTCCTGGAAACGTCCCTTCAGCAGCTGTGGAACGGCACCCACTGGGCTTTCCTCTGGCCTCTGGGGTCCTCTACTGAGCTCCTCTTCAGCTGCCTCTTCCTTACATTTCATTTGTTGATGGTTTTGTCCCACGTCCATCTTCTTTGCTCAGCACCCATTCTGCTTCAGCTTCCGTTGTTACCAGTATGCCAGCAGTGGCCAGTCTTCTCCTGTCCAGTCAGCTCAGAGCCTTGCATCTCTACCTGCTGCCTTGACCTCTCCATTTGCAGTACTGTAGACACTTCAAACTTCACATCCTTTTCTCACAAAGCTGCCCTTCCTGTTTCCAGGCAGGCAGAGGGCTAGATGGGAGGTGTAACGGCTGGTTTTGTATGTCAACTTGACGCAAGCAGAGAGGAAAGCGCCTCAGTTGGGAAAATGCCTCCATGAGATCCAGCTGGAAGAGCCATTGAGTGTTAAGAGCTTTGTGGGATGTTCTGTGGGAGCTTGGAAGATAAGAATGTGGAGAGCAGTGCAGAGGATGGAGGCCTGGCCTGTGAAGTTTCAGAGGGAAGATAAAGACTCTGTGGGGACCATTTGTTACTAAGATTCTGTGGTTCTGGTTAGCTGGGACTGAAGAATCAGCTGTGATTAACAAGATACCAGAACTACCAAAGCGAAATTCTGCTTTACTGGGATACTTGATCCTGGTTGGCTAGAGCTAAGAAATCAGTGGTGATTAAGAAGAGACCAGCAGGCTGGTTATGGTGGCGCATGCCTTTAATCCTAGCACTTGGGTGGTAGTGGATTTCTGAGTTTGAAGCCAGCCTAAAACTGAGAGAGAGAGAGGGAGGGAGGGAGGGAGGGAGAGAGAGAGAGAGAGAGAGAGAGAG